AATGAATGAATAAACAGCAAGTGAAAATATAATTAAATACAATTAAAGAGACCCAAAAGATACTATGAAAGTTATGTAGGGGGAAAAAGGTTTGCTATAAAACATATATGTTTATTTGAATTAAAAACATATGGCTTAAGAACAACACAATCTTGAATCTAAAACTAAATAGAAATTTCCGTAAAATTTAGTATATCATTAACCACATAAATATTTTTTAAAAGATAAATATTTTTAAAAGAACTCCTATTTACAAATGCTAACAGAATTGGTTATCAGGATAAGGAAAGAAAACTTTCAACCTGTTTTATAAAATGCAACAAAATAAATGATAGATAGATCAAAGAAATACATATAGATCAAAGAAATACAGTAAACAAACACATATCTACACATGTAGCTAATGAAGTAGAAAAACTAATGTATTTAATCCTGTTGTAGGTGAGAAACAAACGAAAAACAACAAATTAGCCTTCAAAGGACAAGGCAGGCATAAGACCTTTTAAAAAAGACTTACATAACTAAATATAAGATTCATAAGGAAAATGACTGAAAAGGAAAAACAACTACAATAAGCATCATTACTGAACTCATTTAACATATAAATTCAAAGTACTATATACAGATCTCAAAGACAGTTTTAGAAACGTGACTGACATGTGAGAAGCAGGAAATTTTATTATCTGAAAATATACACAGTTTCACTAAAGAAATGAAATGTAAAACAATCTGAAGATACCATTTTGTGTGCAAAATGAGCAAAAAAAAAAAAAATAGCATCAAAGAAGCTATGGGGAATATGGAATGTCTATCTATTGCTAAAGATATTGTATTATAATTAGTTCACCTAACCTAAAAAGAAATTTGAGAACACTTCAAAACTCCATACACTTTCACCCATTATTTTTTTTCTGATGAATTCCACAGAAAGTACCCATTTGGGAAAAATTATCTGTACAATTTTTTTCCAAGGAAAACTGGAAATAAAATGTCAGCAAAAGAACTGTTAGTAACCTTTGGATTCAACTGATTAAGGTATCAGTTTCATTATGAAAATAAAAAATTCATGGAAATGTTTAGTTACATAACAGTAAGTTTTTAGAAAATAAAATGCAAACTCATAATACTATACAAAGTGTGACAAGTTGAGGTTTAGAAGAAAATTTGGACTTATAGTCCAAATTTAAATGTTATGGATTAATTCCTCTAGAACACCAATAAAAACTATAATTTTTTGCCTATTTTTAACTTTTATATATATTTTACAACATTCTTCCTTTTCGTACAATGAATGCTTTCTCTTCTTGTAGTCCCTGTAGAATATCCACCACCAATTCACCCGTGACCATCACCCTAGTCCCTTGTGCTCTTCCCTCCTCTGTTTTGATCACTCTCTCTCCCTCTCCCCTACAGAATGTTTCTGATTTATATATGCCTGTTAATTTTGTTAACAACTGTAATTTTTAAACAAAAAAGCAAAGGCATATGACCTGAATTAAAACTAAAGAAACCAGCTCCAAGAAAAGCAAAAATATGAAATGTTACTTGGAGAAATAAAAAATAACTCAAGGGAAGAAGAAAAACACAAAGATTCTATCAAAAGACCATGTAAATAAATGGCTAGTTAATAACTAAAATAGGCTAGTTAAATAGGCTAGTTTAGAACTAAAAGACATACTAAAGTCCATTTAAGTCTCACTATCTGTAACTCAGTTTTACAGATAGGAAAACAGGTTCAAGAGATAAAGTGGAATCTATTACTTTCAATATTGGGAAATGTGTTATACATACACAAAATACAGAGGACAGCATAATGGATCCCATGTCATCATCATTCAGCTTCAATAATTATCAAAAAAGGGTAAATGTTCCCCCTCTCCACTACCATTGAAACTTTAAAAAATAAGTCCCAGAACTTGTATGATTTTGTCTGTAAATACTTAGATCTGTATCTAATTGGTAATATAAAACAGTATCATAACATCTTAAAAAATTAAAAATTTTATGTCATTTGATATCCTGATATTCACATTTCCCTCACTGACTTAAGTCTTCTCTACAGTTAAAGTCAGAATTCAAGTAAGTACTATATATATATTTTCTTGAAATTATGTTTCTTAATTTAAAATCTTTAATACCCATCTTCTTTTCTCCCTTGCTACTTAGCAGTTAAAGAAACCATGTTATTTGCTATGAGAATTTCTCATAAAATGGATTTCATTGACGGCAATGCTAGGGGTATTTAACATACTTCTCTATTTCTTAATCTTATTTAAATTGGCTTGATTTAGGTCTCAGAGTTAGGTCTGAGTCTTTTGACACAGGTCTTTTGACCTCCCCACTACCCATCCCAGCAGCACCTCAAATATCTGCTCTGTTATGATGGGATTCAAAGATTTATCAATGGACATCATCCTGCTCTATCCAGTTCTCCATCAAAATTTCACCTAATAATTCAGCAAGCATTGATGACAGCTACCTCAATTCACTCTTTATTTAGTAGCTACAAATGGCATCTTTCTGAATTTTACATCCCTTCCACATGTATTAGCTGGAATGCTTCAATAAAGAACTTACAGTGGTCAATTATCTAGTTTCCCTAAATTAGTTTATCTATGAAAGGTAGCTGTTTCATCTTTTCCCTTTGCTTTTATCTACTCCGGATAATAAGTTGATACCCTAAAATCTCAAAAAAAATTTTTTTACAACATCCTCATAAAACTTTCAGATTTAAAACCATTTCCTGTATTTAATTACTATACTCATGAATCCTTTCTTACATGCAAACTGTTCACCATTGGGTAGTGACCATACTTGATTCTTGCTCCTTTCTCCTTCTTACCTGACCCCAGTGGTATCTGATAGCTTCCTGGTTTTAGAGTCACATGATGCTAAAGTGCAGTGCTTTCAAAGTATGGCTCCTGGACCAGCAGCGTCATTAACATCAGGGAATGCACTAGAAATGCAAATTTTGGAGCTTGCCCAAAACTCATTGAATCAGCAACCCTGCAGGCAGGGACAGCAATCTATGTTCTAAAAAGTTCTCCAGGAGACTATACACACTAAAGTCTGAAAACCACTGACCTCGGTTTATCTTGTACATTTCCTGCTTCAATCCTAGAACTACTCATCTCTCCAAGAATACCAGGTTCTATCAGTAGGGAAGCATATTTAGAAATCACAATATGGGTACAGCCACAGGGCTGTCATTTGCAATATGTAGATAAAAAAATAAGCAGCAAAGCTAGTTATTCAAAGAGCTGAGATCAGATCTAAATATCCTACCTGGCGCCCACTGCTCTTTCCTGATACCTGAGTGAATTATATCCATGTATAGCTTGCGTATGGCCATCAGCTATGCTTTTTCTTAACTTTGATATCATCACTTACTGAAACACCTTGAAAAAGTCACTTATCCACTCTAAACCAACATTCTCTATATAAAATACACATAATTAATTTATATCACATTATATAAAGGTTACATTAGTTCCAGAATCACCCATGGATAAAAAAATCCACAGATACTAAAGTATCTTACAGAAAATGGCTTAGTATTTGCAGATAAACTGTGCAAATCCTCCCACAGAGCTCTAGATCACTTACAATATAAATCGTATGCATATAACTGTTACACTGTATTATTTAGGGAATGACAAAAAGAAAAATTCTGTACAAGATTTTTAAGACATGAAAAAATATTCAGTCTTACTGGTAATTAGAGAAATAAAACAAAATTAAATATTTTCTAACCATCAAACCTGGCACCAAAAAGAGAGAAAACTGACATTATCATCTGCTGTTGGTGGGTAGGAGGTAAAGTTATTAAGCTGTTTTGCTTTTGTTTTCAAAAAGCTGGTATGTTTCAGGAAATTTATACTGTTTCTAAAAGGAGTATGCATTTTATAATCAATAAAAGAAAAAAGAAGAAGGCATTAAGTAGCAGCACTTTTATGTCTGAAATAAATTTGTTGTAAAGCCTAAAAATGGCTTCTAAATAAGATTTATATAAACTCCTCCAAATCTGCCTGGCAAGACTTTCTAATTGTGCTACTATGGCATAAACACTCTATCTTACCCAATCAAAAGCTGCATTGAAAGAAAGCAATCGGGCAATGGCTTAGCAGTCTTAGCGAAGAGTTTCAGAGGTACCCAGCAAGCTCATGGCACTCTTCTCTAAAGCCTAAACCTTCATTCTGAACAGGCTGTAGATCCAGGAAATCTCAGTTAAATCATGACTGAGACACTTAAAAAGTTGCAGCATTTAGGTAAGTAATTCAGTGTCTCTAAGTCTACTTTCCTTATCCACAAAAAGTGCACAATTCCTCCTGCAGCACTGGATAACTGTGATGGTTAGAAACAATGTTCAGAGCCTAGTTTCAAGTAGTGGGCATTTAATCGGCCCTTATCACTACTACAATTGTCATTGTGCCTGATTTAACAAATCTGTAACTAATTAGGCTTACACATCCCTTATCAATCCACGGAACTAATAAAGTATGATGTAAAATATGTCCTCCAAAATGAATTTTTAAAAAGAAAAGAAAGAAGGATACAGGAAAAAAGTGGGGGGGGGGGGAAAGGTGGGGAAGGGGTTGAGAGGGAAAAGCAAAGGAAGAATTGGGCAAAAAAATGAAAGAAGTTAAACATGAGCCAAGATTAGCAATATACTTTAATGAAGGAAATTGAAAATAGTTCTACTCACCATCATGAAGCTCAGTGGAACCCATTCATTAAACTGACACTGAACTTACCAATAAATGTGATCAACCTGAAGCAAGATGAACTTTCTCCTATGCAGAGATGTCTTCAAAAAACTGTGGAATAAAACTTGCCTTTTCTATTTAAAGTCATTCCTCTATTGCTTAACAATTGGTCTGACAGGAAGGCAGCAAGCAGGGTTAGAGAGAGAAAAGAGAGAAGAAAGACGAGAAAAACAACATGCAATGATGGATCCACTCTGTTCACCAGATCCTTTCAGATCCGCCTTGCATTCTAACCTGCAGCTGCTGGGAGCTGTCGTTGAGATTGTCCTCCCTTCGCCGAGCCTCCTCCAGCATCTGAGCGCTTTTCTTCTTTTCCACCTGCTCCTTGTGCTTCAGATTTGCCACCTTCTTATTCTGGTCTTTCACTTGCCTATTAATAGAGGGAGAAAAATCACATTTTTCATCTCTATGCAGAGAAAAGAATATGTTTATTTACAGACTTAAATGACTGACACTGCAAACAGCTGAAAATCAACAAATGTTCTTGCAAATTTTTTTTAACCCTTTAAAATTCTTTCCTACCAGTGGTAGCAAAAGATAAATAATGTTGTTTCAGGAACATGTATTGCAGCATGTAACTTAATGAAGCACAATGAAGGCATAAAATTGAGGAAAGCATGACTGTGAAATGACAGGGGAAAGAAAACAAATAGGAGATTTAGGTTCAAAATATGGAAGCAGTTTACCGACATCAATTCTGTGCAATAGCAAAATGGCTGATTAAGACTTTGTAATAAAATTTATCTATTCGGACAACCAAGTAAAGAGAAACAGAAGGTAAAATCAAACCCTTTCCTCATGTCTCCTTCTTACCCAACTTTCTTCCATTATATGTGTGTACACCTTATTAACATCTACATTATATACATTACCCACAGAGAGAATATATACATATATAGTGTGTGAGCTGGAAAGTAATAGTTTAAGCAAGACAAACAGCATAAAAATACACTAATCAGAAATAAAATATTACTAAAGTATTCAATATTATATATAAACATCTACCTATTAAAAATCTGTATTATATATAAATTTTACACAGAGAGAATCTATACTGCACAAAGCAAACTCGCCCTGTACTACACCTTCCCAAGAATAACTTCATTTATATTCAGTTAAATCATATAAATATTATAAATAAAATAAAGACAAGATATAAAATTTCATGATACCACCTAGTTACTTAAACTTGACTTAACAGTAAGAATTTCACATTATACTTGCCCAGAAAGTATTCAATATTTATAATAGTACATACTATGTCTAATTGATATGTATGGGATTATTTCATAGCTGCTTTAAATGTTTTATTTTTATGAAACGGTATCTCTAAGAAGTAGTTTTTATTTTTATTACTTATTACAATATTTAATGTTATAAATATTATTTTCTAAAGAAAATAACCCATAATTTAAAATAATTTAGAAGACTGATATTAATATAAAATCATTCACAATATAGGGGTTTGTATAAATGCTTCAACTTCTGAAAAATATTTAAATTATCAATTCAAATATTTTAATCAGCAAGGGAACAGCATGATAATTAGTCTTACATCTAAATTCATTTATTTTCATGTTTGTTCTCACTACACACTGATTTTCACTAGGGCAAGGAACTTATTTTATATACTGTCACATATTTGAGGCAAGCCTGTCTCAGAGCGGTAATTCAAAGTTTACTGAAGTATTTTGACAGAAAGCTCATTTCTTAAATTTTGGTTCTCCAAATACCTCCATGACCATTAAACAGTTGATGAATGCTTCTATAAGCTAGACACTATTTTTGGGAATATGTCAGTGAACAAAGGCTCAGCCCTCACGGATTTATAGCCTTCACTAAGATAAAGGTTATAATTAAAACACAAAGTATGTCAGATGGGGACAAGTACAGCTGAAAAAAAATAAAAGGAAATAGGAATGTGGGAAGTGACTTGAGATTGAAATTTAAAATAAATTGCTCAGAAAAAGTGATACTGTGACCATAAATTTGAAGTGAGACCTGCAGCATAGTTTCGTACTTTTTTCCCTGAAGCAGCCCCCAGCTGCTCAGTGCAGAGTAGCAGAGGCTGATCGTTGACCAGAGTTCTGCAAAGCATATGGTATAGAGGAAGAGAAGGAAATAACTCAAGGGTGGTTAAGCAGAAGCGACTACACTGCTGGACCATGAACTCTGAGCCACATAAGGAGGAAAGTAAAGATATAAGAGGTTAAAAATAGTAACACGTTGCAGTATCAAGGTTTAAGAGTTCTTGGAGGGGGAGACCAGGAGAGCACCTGAACTGAGAGTAGAATGGGGTTGGTGATCCAAGCTACCCTGCATTTTCCACATCACTAAACCAAGGGGGAAAATTCTGACAGATAATCAACTCCAGACACTTAAAACACATAGGAAAGGGAAAAGACGTGTTTGACTCTAGCCAGAACAACTACAAAATCCCCCAAATCTAAGAAATGACACTTGTCTCTTATTCTCTCTCCCTGGCCATCGTGGCGGCTGCCCTTGGTTGGGGTCAGGAAGATGGTGGCTGCAAAGAAGATAAAGAAGATGAAAAAGTTGCCAGAGTCAATCAACTCTAGGCTCCAACTCATTATGAAAGTGGAAAATGTGTGCTGGGGTACAAACAGACTCTGAATATGATCAGACAAGGCAAAGCAAAACTGATTACACTCGCCAACAACGGCCCAGCCTTGAGGAAATCTGAAAGAGGGCACCACACCATGTTGGGCAAAACTGGTATCCATCACAGTAATGGCAACAATATTGAATTGGGCAGGGTGTGTAGGAAATATGCAGAGTATGTGCACTGGCTGCCACCGATCCAGGTGATTCTGAGCATTAGAAGCATGCCAGAACAGACCGGGGAAACATAAACAATGTAAAATTTTTCTTTAATAAAACTGGCTAGAGCTTGTTTTTTAAAACAAAAAAGGAAATGACACTAAGAATGACATGTGATCAGAGGAAAGAAAAGCAGAGAACCTCCTCTCATATACCTTAGTATGATTTGTGGAGTTGTTTATCTAAAACAGTCACTGCCTGGTTCCCAAACTGTGTAAGGATAGGAATCATGCACTGCTGGTATATTAAAGAATTTATAAATTCTGAAAAACAAACCAAAGACATGACACAATGTGATGACGATACTGTGCCAAGAAGTCTGAATTTGGGGTAGGGAAACAGAGCAACATGGCAAACCTGTATCTTGAAACACTGACTTGATTTTTTTGACCTATGACTGAGTAAATATATTGACAATTATTTTCATTCTTTCACAATAAGGTTGGGGGGCACTGTTCGATGTTACTTGCTCTGAATTTCTCCCTGATTTATTCATTAACACATAGAAAAACATCCAGCATTTTTATGGAGATCATTCATTTATATTATACATTATCTTAGTTTTTATTATTGTCTAAAAATAGGGCATATAACCTTAGATTTTTCGAGTCCACTGTGGTCCTAAAAGAAATAAACATACACATCTTCCTGTCCTGCCTCTGTATTTTTCCCCCTTTAAAATTTTATTCTTCTTCCCACTACATTTAATTTTCTTCTCTCTTTCATGGTTTTTCTGTTATATGCCTCAGGGTTCACCATATGAAGCAAGTATTTAATCATCATTCTTGGTGGACATCCTACCTATGGAGATAACCTAGAAATAACCTAGAAAAAGTAAGTGCCAGCAGGGACAAAAAAATGAAGCAGACAATGTGGACTTTTACTTCTTGCTATCTTATTTCTGTCTTTCTAGCTGAAAAGAGCTTTGGTAGATATTAATCCATTTAACTCTCTCTCCCCACCCAAGGCTTTGGCAATGATAAAACCTATGAATGCACACTTCAATCACGGTGCACAATAGTTTATTGTGTATGCAAAAAAGTCACCACCTCCATGTTTTTTTCACTCGGTGATTTCACAGAGCTCAGTTTAAAAAGACATTCAATTTGGATCTTTCTCTGTAAGAAATAATAGCTGGATCATTTTTCATTTTTGCAAGAATTATATAAAATATATTAAACATAAAAAAATAAAACTGGATCTTGAAAGATTAAAAAAAAACTTTCTGTTAAAAAGAAAGAAATAATAGTTGAAGACTACTATGAGACTTTAGGTATTAAGTAAAATAAGTTAAGTCTTTTTCTCTGGTGCTAATGTTACTGATCAGAAAATTTTCTGAGTGGTTTTCTTCCTAAACTCTGGTTAAAATACAGTGAAAATCTTTGTAACAATTGTACAAAAACCTACTAATCACTGAAGCATTCCAATGAAATGAATAAAAGAATAAAGCTTAAAGTTTCTGATTTCATTAATAAAGGATGGGTCAGGTGAACAAACACAGGGAGGCAAAAAAATTTAAAATGTTAACTTAAAAATATAAAAATTTAAGGACAATTTATTTTCATTTCAAAAACATTTGCATTCCACTTTCCAGGGGTCTTCAGCCAGTAGGTTTCATATTTTATGTTAAACGTGATTTAATTTACAGAAATTCCATATTCAGAGGGAGTGAGTAAGGCAAGGGGGCGAGGAGGGAGAAACTCAGTATCCACACAATTGAATTATAAAAGTTTAGTTTACATTCCCTGCTTTTTATGTTTGTTAGATTCATATTGACTGCATAATAAAATCCAAATTCCCATAATTAGCACAAAGGCCCTTAACAATCATACCATATTTTCATTACTTCCTTGCACAGTTAAGTTTTGAGTTTTGGAGTGGCTTTGTTCTGGCTTATGCCTTTTCAGATGCCTTTCTGTCCTTCCTCTTTCCCGCCATCTCTGCCCAGCAAACACATTACTCATTCTGCAAGTGGAAGCTCAAATGGTACCATCTTAACATAACTTTCCAATTCTACCCTAAGCAGGACTGCTTCATCCCTGTGACTGAAGGGGGCTGCACCTGAACCACAGTAGGGTAGGCTATAGTATAACTGTAAAGGAAACTATTTTCTAGATTCCCTGTTCAATAGTTATAATGCTTAAAATATACAAATAAAAAGTATAGAGTTTACAAATTAAACAAAAGAAAAATTAAAATACACAAAGAAATTCAAATTATCAGCTTTAATCTGTAGTTAAGTCACTGCTCCCCAGCACAAGCATGGGACTTACTACTCTGACGCAAGTTCTATTAAGTAAATTAAATTGTCCCAAAACCTTCTGTTTGCCACACTGCTAAATGCAAGTTTACTTCGCACAGTGCATCATAACATCATTTGAACTTTGCTTGAAATAAAAGCAACATGATATAAGAGGTTCACCCAGTTCTTTTTTTATGGGTTCACAACAATTACAGTGATTAAAACTTGAGCACAAGATCATAACTGTCAAAATGGATGATGCAACTACCTATACTATTTAGTTATGA